CGTTTTCTTTCCCTTCTCTTCAGGATTGTACAGGGAATGTTGGAAATTTGGAAAAACATAACTATAAAGAAAAATAGAGAAAAAGTCAACACTTCAACATAGGCGATAAAATGACTAAAGTGTGAAAAAAACTGGAAAACAAAAGCAGAAAGTTGTAGACAAACACGTTGAACACATCAAGAAGCACTTGTCACACTTTCACGAGGTGTGACACCAAACAACTGCAACGATAACACATTCTCCTTCTGTACACATAGTTCTGGATCTAGTTTACGAATATACAGCGCTTCTAACACAGCAAGATGTAACTTAGACCTTCCACGAGTTAAAACCGAAAAGACATCATCACTATACAACTCACGACAATTAGCACTTCCCGACAAATAACGCTTTGTTTAAGACAAACTCACAGAATAAATACCATCGGTCCCTTGGTGTTCGTCCTAAAGAGGTTCGACTGGATATCATTCAAACTCACCAAAAGATGTGTAAGATTTTATTATTATGGAGTGCCTTGTTTATCTCTCAGTACCTCCAACCATAGCCTTGCCCCTGTTATCCTCGGGATCAGTGTAGTTGTTGGAACGAGGTGTCGGACTCAGCAATGTATTTGTTTACATTTTAATACATGTTTATTGTTCCTCCTTTGCTGTATTGTTTTAGAAAATCGTGGACTAAGGGCCTGTCCAGACTAGGTAGAAAACCACGTAAAAACGCCGTAAACATGCTTGTTGCCAAGGTGAGCGACGAAAAATGGCCGTTTTCGCAGTGTTTGTTGTGTGGGAGTCGATGGAGTTTGCTTATCTCGTTTTTTTCTTGCTGTTTCCAGCTGCCGCTAGTTTTCGCTTTGGAGTTGCCACACGTCCGTTTCAGCGACCACTCGGACGCGACATTGATACAGTCATGGCTGGACATGCAGAGAAATCCCGGGGGTCTGATGAAGAGGAAGGTGTAGTAGCGAGACTCGGAGGATTCACTGAAAATTTGATCTAGTACTGATTTGAAAGAATTGTTTGGAGAGGAAACAGAACCCTCTTGTGACCAAAATTGACAACATGAAGGCTAATACCAGGGACTTTTACTGGAAGTACATGGCGGCAACCAACACTGGTTCGTCAAGCGATACTACAGCCGGCCTCGACCTTGGCGCTGCGCTGCCGCGAGAGTCACACGGTGGCCAAATTTCCGCACCTGGAACAGAGTTCAGGGTGATATTCCTTGAGCTCGGCGTCAGTGCTGCCATCGCTGGGCCGCCACTTGTTTTATAGCTAGCTGGGTAGGTCTAGACCAAGCCAAGGAGTCCTTTCCTGGTCTACTAGTACGCGCTACAAACATTGTGCAATCGCGGCATCTAGAGAAAATATTGAACAGGTACTCGACGTAGTTACACTGTTGACAGGGTGCAGTGCTAGTGTGGACAGAACATCGCGTGTACGTCACGTACACTGAAACGGCACGCCGTTTTTATTACATAGTGTGGATAGGCCCTAAGGCTGTGTTTACACGACAACGCTAGGGGCGCAAACGCAATGAAATCCTTTCGGATCCATGGTTCTGTTGCACGGTACGCGGAGCAAAACGTAAAAGTTGTACACCAAAACGGAAGAAAACCAAAACGCTGGCCAAGGTGGAAGAATTTGAAAACGGAAATGTTCTGCCAGATAAATTTGGGTGTGTAAACAGTCGAAATGGTGTGCTGGCCTCGTTTTCCGTCACGTTTGTTTCGTTTTCGGCCGTTTACACGGATCCGACAATCCCAAAAAATTGTTTTTACAATTTTCGTCATGTGACGTGTGTTGTCGTGTGCCTGTTTTCAACCATTACTTGAGTGTGATTGGTGCTTCCACGGCAACACTTGGCACATGACGAACTTTGGCGGATCCTTTGCTCTTGTGTAGACGCTTGAAAACGATACAAAAGGAGACCACCTCGGATCGGCTTTGATCGTGTAAACGTACGAAAACGAAAAAAGAAATGCGAGACTGAAAACGGAAAACTGGCCGTGCGTTGTCGTGTAAACGCAGCCTAACAGTTTGAAGTCATTAAACTACTTCCAAAAGTTGTATCGACATCAACAGGATTACGATTTCAGTGCAATATGATGCAGGATGACCTTATCACGATAACCCATGATTATATACCATTATAAACACCGGATCAACAAAAACATCTGCGACACGCACCTGGTTACATTTCTCAAATAAATCTGATCGAGGGTGGGAAAATCTGAAATATCTGAAAGGCCAGTCAATTTTATGACAAAGTCATGAAATTCTGCTACAGCAACATGCACAGAATGCCCTCCGTATAATACAAAAGTATCACCACGGTCCACCACTACTCACATGTTTCCCCGCAGAAGAATATGCTAGTGCCATTTTCTGCAAGAAAAGGCTTGCACATCAATGCGTATAATACGGTATTGATATGATGTGAAGGCCATCATTTACATATTGATATAGGGCATTCCATTGATTGGTGACAGAAAAAAACAAAAGAAATTATAGCAATAAAAACTGCTTTATTGCAGTTTTCTAAACAAGTTATTGTGTTCTAGTCCATGGGCCGGACCCCGTCTAAAAAGTAAGAAATTCACGAAATGTGATAGCCGAAAATTAAAATTTCACACAAAACCTCACAATAATCACACACAGAATGAAAAGCTACATGTAGAAGACCGTTTCCCCTCGTGATCCTCTCTCCTATGCATGCATGACTGCATGTTGCCAATTGTTGGTGCAGTACAAGTTTAGTGTTGAAAGCAGCATTTCAAGTGTTGTGATTTTGTGTGAAATTTTAATTTTCGGCTATCACATTTCGTTATTTTCTTACTTTTTAGACGGGGTACGGTCCATGGACTAGAACACAATAATTTTTTTTAGAAAACTGCAATGAAGCATTTTTTATTGCTATAATGCAAAGTGTATCGAGGGAATGCATGTGTAGTATCCCTGCCCGACCAATACGGAAGCCCTCTCACTGTCAGGCTATATCTGCATCCGCAGAGATCGACCTCCGGAAGACAATCGGTCAGCACATTGTAGCCGTGGGTATGGGGGTGTTGCCGTACTTGTCCGTTCGGACTCCTTTCCGTACGTCTCCCCTCGTGCCGACCTTCAACGCCCTGGCTGCGAGTCTGTGTGGCTTGAACTTGGCTCCCCCTCTACTCAATCTCAGAATCCCATCTTACTATGCTGCATGTATCGACCACCCTCACAGAGCACAATGCAATTGTCGTACTTTTGTGACATGTTTGTTGAGGCATTACAGTCAGTCTGTTTAGATTCTTATGATCTGCTAGTGACTGGCGATTTCAACGCCCACAACTCAAGCTGGTGTCCCACCGATTCTACCTCGAAGGCTGGTGATCTCCTTAGCACAGTATTTGCTGCTCTTGGGCTCCACCAGATGGTTGACTTCCCCACTCATTCCTCGCCTAATGGCTCTGTTTCGTGTCTGGACTTGGTGATCACCAACCGACCACGCCTCGTGCGCTCAATTGATCAAGCACCTCCCTTGGGTATGTCTGACCATATACAGATTGTTTGCACTTTATGTTACGCCCCTATTTCGAACTACTTCCCCAACTCTGCCACTGGTCCTCCCTCTTCACTGTATCGCTTCAAACAAGTACCTTCGCACCTTTGGCAATTCATCAACGCTGATTTAGCTGGCTACAACTGGTCCTCTCTGAACTCGTACACTGATGTTAATGACGCACTTCATCACTTTGATTGTGAGCTCCAGTCCGCCTTCCGTCGGCACCTCACTTCATTCGGAGCCACCTACACTGTGACATCTCCACGACCCCGCATGCAATCTCCACCATGGGTTACTGCTGAGCTCAGGTCTGCTGTAAAACGCAAGCGTGATCTATATAGTGTGTACAAAAAATATCCGACAGCAGTAAATCATGCAGCTTATAACCGACAAAGGAATGCTGTAAAGCACCTGTCTCGGCAAGCACATCGTCAATATATACGCTCCATCCAAGCATCACTAACGTCACCGAATCGACCTACACTCTTTCAGTTTGTGCGAGCACAGCGGCACACTTCCGGCCGTGTCATGCCCCAAACGATGATAGCATCCGACGGTACGGTCGCCACGTCCCCCAAGAGCATAGCTGATGTTCTGAACACTCAGTTCACCTCATTTGGGCTACCTGATGATCCTTCGTGGCGCATTCCCCCTTTGTCCCAATCGCCTTTCATATCTGTTCGGTTCCGTACAATCACTGTCACTACGTTTCAAGTTCGGAAATATCTGAAGCGCCTGAAATGTGGAAAGTCTCCCGGCTCGGATGGGATCCCGAATGAAGTGCTGCAGTCTCTTGCACCATCAATAGCCTATCCTCTCGCCATTATTTTTAATATGTCATTTCGAACTGGTACATTCCCACAGGATTGGAAATCCGCCATCGTGACACCGCTTTACAAGAATAAAGGCTCCCGTGCTTGCCCGGCAAACTACCGCCCCATCTCTCTGCTGCGCACAGTTTCCAAACTTTGTGAGCGTATTGTATTCGATTCCCTCTACCTGCACATCGCTCCGGCTCTCTCACCAGCTCAGTCGGGATTCTGCCGTGGTGACTCGACTCAATACCAGGTGACTCGACTTGTCCAAGACATAGCGACAAAGAGGAACTGTGGGAGCACGTGGGAATGGTGTTTTTCGACTTGGCTAAGGCATTCGACACCGTTTGGCATCGTGGCTTACTTGCCAAGTTGAAGGTCACCTTCCGGGTGGAGGATGCTGCCTTGCGTTGGATATCCTCGTATCTGTCTGCTCATTCTCAGGCTGTTCGCTTGTTCTATTTCTTGTCTGATCCCCTCCCTGTAACGTCTGGAGTGCCCCAAGGTTCCATTCTGGGTCCTTTGTTATTCTTGCTTTACGTTAATGACCTACCTTCAGTTGTCCCCGATGTTAGTTTGTATGCGGATGACACTGGCCTTATCTGTTCTGATTCCTCCCCTGCACAATTACTCCTTACCATGCAGCATCGCATCAACAGCACTGTCATGTGGATGCAAACGTGGAAACTCCAGCCCAATTTAGACAAGACAGAAGCCATGTATATTTCTTCATCCCCTCCTGATCAACCATTATTCTTCCCTGACTCGACTATGCCTATCCGTGTTGTTACTCAGCACAAACATCTAGGTGTGATGTTTGACTGCAAACTCTCTTGGGCTGCACATGTCAACTGTGTATGCAAGCGAACCAGTTCAGCCTTAGGGGTACTACAATCACATTGCACTCATTTGCCCATCCAGTGTAAACTATTATTTTATCAGTGCTATATTCTCCCTATATTCGACTATTGCGATACCGCTTGGTGTGGCCTTTCTGACACAACTCTGAGCCAATTAGAAGTCCACCATAGATTTATACTTAAAATTCTTTACAACAAGGATCGATGTTTTCCTTCGGATGCCCTTTATCGACTTGCACACACTTCTCCTCTCTCCGTTCGTCATAAGCACCATCTCTGTACACTGGTTCATAAGATATTTCTTCATAAAACCCCTTCACACATGATGAAGTACAATTGGTTTTCGACAAGCTCAACCCGTAACGCGCTCACCCTGCCTTTTGTTAAGTCAGCCCAGTATCTAAAGTCCCCTTTGTTTTCCGGCTACTCTCATTGGTTATCATTACCATACGGTCTGAAAACTTGTTCTTCTATTGGTCAGTTTAAAGATCTACTATCACAACTGAACTAGACGCAATAATTATCATCGAAGAACATTCTCGAATACCTGGGTGATGCACGAATTTTGATAGTGCTCACTTCCGTGAATCGTTTTTCTTTTTAATTTTCCATTCATTTTCTGCTTTAATTCATATTATTTTTGCTTTGTTTTCCTAGCTTACTATTGCCGTGGCTGGCTCAAAGCCCTTGTCTCAGGGGATTCTGTCCCTGCACTAGCTATGCTTGTCACATGCTATGAGATTGTGTCTAATAATAATAAGCAGTACAAACAAACAAAGTACGGAACTAATACGGAGCTTTGCCTGATGTATATTTAGTGTATCTCCGTATGTAAGCGTACGGAGTCTGCTGCATAAAAGCGGCTGCGCTTTCTGTTTCAATTAGATTAGATTAGATAGCAACGAAAGCTTACTCGAAGAAGAAGTAGTCAACCTCTAGGTGAACACCGGAGAGAAAGTTATTTATTTTGCCGCTTCTTCTTTCACTAATAATTATATCTCAGGTGTGTACCTGAGAGAAGTAGAACGAGAGAGCTTGGAAGCTCAGGGCCCTACGCTATGCTTTTTTGCCTTGATGACCTAGACAAAAAAAAGCATAGGGATGTTATAAATTATTTAAAAAAATCCTTTTTTTAAGACATAACCTGGGATTCGAACCCGCACTATCGCGCGCCCTGCATGCATCCCCCGATACACTTCGCATACATACTAATTCTTCCAAGTTGTTTCACATTGTGATCTTGCATTTGAAAGCCCTATTTGAATATGCATTGTGGCCAGCCGTCTTTGATGGCACGGTACGGTAGGGGATAGGTACGGGACAGGTACGATCGAGGGTAATACGACACCATCTTGCTGCCCGCAATATTCAAATAGGGCTTTCAAACGCAAGATAATAACATGAAGCAACTTGGAAGAATGGGTTTGAATGCGGAGTGTATGGGGGAATGCATGTAGGGCGATAGTGCGGGTTCGAATCCCAGGATATGCCTAAAAAAAAAAGGAGAATTGAAAAATTTATAACATCCTATGCTTTTTTGCCGTCAGATACGGATAGCGCCAGGCGTGACACAAACAAACAAAGAAACACACAAACAAACAAATACCAAATTACAGCTGTGTGGACCCTGGCTAGCGCCAGACGTTACTGAAGTAACGTCTTCTGCATAGCTACGGGAATAAAACTAATTCTTGTTGATTTCACCGCGCCTACCACTCGGCTACCATTACATTGGTGGCAGCGGTGGGATTCGAACCCACACCTCCGGAGAGACTGGAAAATAAATAAAACGGGTCGCTTGGAATCGCCATCGGAGTCTCCAGTGGAAACCATGCGGAGGGAAGGGTGATCCACGCTAGCACCCTGGCTTGGCCCTGCTTATTAGCTTGCAGCACAGCCAGGGTGCTAGCGTGGATCACCCTTCCCTCCGCATGGTATCCACTGGAGACTACGATGGCGATTCCAAGCGACCCGCTACCTACATGTATACTACCGGTGGTGATGGCGAAGCTGATGAGGACGACAACAGGCAGGTTTCTGCCCAAGACGAGGGGGTATTCCCCAAGACCATCAGCGTTTGATTTTCGCCGGCACGCAGTCGGAAGCAGGAGTCCACTCTTCACTTGGTACTTCGCCTCCGTGGTGGGATGCAGATTTTCGTCAACACTCTTCCTGGCTAGACCATCACTCTTTACGTCGCGCAAAGCGATGCTATCGACAATGTGAAGACCACGATTCAAGACAAGGAGTGAGTTGATTTGTTTGACGCCGAGCTAGCCGCTCTGAGCCGCACAACCAAGATGAAGATAAAACCTGGCTTGCTCTTCGCCGTAGCTCCAGCTGCCGCCGTGGTTACTAACGCTGATTCCAGGTATGGCATTTTCTTTCCTGACTTCCTTCAGTCTCCCTATTCTCTTCAGTCTTCCTTTATGCGAGTGTGTGAATCCAGTTTAGTTTGGTAGGCGTCTGATCATGGTGAGCCACGTCTTACCTAAGTAACCTGGTGAGAGAAGTGTAAGAGAATCCCCTTTTACACTCCAGGTGTGTACCGGAGTAAGTTCCCACGATGCAGTGCATTTTTTGGAAATTGTGAATTTCCTGGCAGTTTGAGCCCGCGATGTGCAGAAATTTGGCTGTCTTTCACGTCCTGTTTGGAGGACCATTCTTTCCCTTTTGACTCCGTGAGATCGTGTGAACCTGGTGTGCTTCTACTTTATGATTTGTTATCAGTTCATTTCGTTTGTCTACTCTAAACGTTATCATTTCCGGTATAATTTGCCATCTTCCGCTTGACGCTGCGTTCGTAACTCTTCACTAATTTTTTGAAAATCACGAGGGCGTGATTATCTGTAGAAAGGGAGGGTGTAGTATCCCTGCCCGACCAATACGGAAGCAGCACGGAACTAATACGGAGCTTTGCCTGATGTATATTTAGTGTATCTCCGTATGTAAGCGTGCGGAGTCTGCTGCATAAAAGCGGCTGCGCATTTCGGTTTTAATTAGATTAGATTAGATAGCAACGAAAGCTAACTCGAAGAGGAAGTAGTCAACCTCTAGGTGAGCACCGGAGAGAAAGTTATTTATTTTGCCGCTTCTTCTTTCACTAATAATTATATCTCAGGTGTGTACCTGAGAGAAGTAGAATAAAACTAATTCTTGTTGATTTCACCGCGCCTACCACTCGGCTACCATAACACATGTAAGGCTATAGTGCGCGTTCGAATCCCATGTTATAGTTATCTTTTTAAGAGTAGGAGAAATGAAAAAGAAACATCAGTTGCAGGGTAAATGGAGCCGAAAGCCACGGGCAACAAAGTTTCACGACAGCGCTAGATGATCCTGCAGCATCCGTCACCCTGAAGCGCGCAGCTTTCTCCAAACCCCGCCACTAGGCCTATGTCGCCCCACAGCTAACACAGATGTTTCTTCAACGAAGCCTAGCCCATCCCGCCTCAATAAAGTACCCCATGGATGCAGCCGCAGACAGCAGGATTGGGCAATACGGCGTCAAGGACAATGATTGAGCAATACGTCGTCAAGAACGGTTTCTAGTTGATTGCAACAACAACATCTGGAACACTAGCGCAATCGTCCTGTCTAATGAGTCTAGTTGTTTTTGGCAAAAAAACACTCGGATGTTGTTGAGGCAATAATATTAATTAACAAAGAAGAAAGGACCACTAAGTTAGGAGTTATGACTAAGAGTGCATCAAAGTAACGAGAAAATATCCAGTCAGCTAGTGCGACAACAAGGGGTTTGGCACTTTCTATAATATTAGATTGGACCAAATGTTTAAATACAGAAGTTGTTTCCCCACACGACACCATTTCGCCAAGATATGTCCGCAATGATCCTTGACAAGGAAAGCATACTATGGCTTCAGAACCACTCGGATGTTGAGCCAATTGAGAAAGGACGAATACTTTCGGGTTATGACTAACAGCCTGCAAAAGCAATGAGATATTATACAGTCAGATAGTGCGATACCAAGTAATTACGCTGACAGGGATATTCAGACAGGTACCCAATTCCAACGAAAGCCACGTGCACCTTAGCACTCTAGTATATCTTGCAGAAAGGTGTTGTCATTGATGGCATGGTCATGTCTATTCCATTAGTTGCTTTGCAAACTGCTGCTTGCAGTCTCCCCACGTTCTTTTCAGTGCTACGGAATTGACTGTTGCGTTTGCATGCCACGGCCCACAGGCAAATCTATGCATTTTTAGTATTGTGCCCCATCTGAGAGAATTTCGAGATAAATATCAAACTCACTGGAAACCATTCCATGCATGAACGCGACCATGCTGTGTATTCAAATACTCAGTGCTTGGGGCATTTACTTCATATGCAGAGTAAAGCAGTAAACGAAATACAACTTGCCCACGGTAGTCGTTGGATTCGTAGGATTGACTTCACATAGCCAGTATCGCCACCACGCACATGGATTATACACACAAGGACACGCACAGATACAAACACTTCACTCAAAACCTAGAGCACAGCAACATGTGGACCTTGGAAAACACATAATAACTTTGACCGAACACTGATAGCAATTATCAAGCTGAAATCTAATGTTGTTTCAAAATAAATTATTACATATTTTGTTTCAGAATTTTTGCACTATTACTTCTGTGAACAAATTTAATTGAAAAGGAGCAAGAAAAAGCGTCAGTTGAGTTTTTACGCTTTGCACACTGGATTCGTACATTCGCGCAACAACAGTATACCCTGATTTCCTGATGCCGAATAAATGCATGGAGCAAATGTGCAAGATATCTGTAAGGTACCTCCTCCCGTACGTCTACAACCATATCCAAGTTGGCCTGCATGCACTCTCATACGTTTTTGTTTCCTTTTGTTCCGTTGGCCTGGGAAGCTACTCGCGCGCCCATAATTGCCATAGCTACCCAGGCCCTTTATCTTGCCGTTCACACTTGCTCTCTACCTCTTCTTTCTCTCTTACACAATGACGTCGTTCCGTTTGTCTTGGTCTCTGTCTCTTCGTCCCCTGTAATAAATGTTCCACCTACCAGTTTTCGTTGTCCATTATTGTGCTTGGAGAGTATGACTTCCTCCTGTTGGAACCCAACATATGTAGTATCCCTGCCCGACCAATACGGAAGTAGTACGGAACTAATACGGAGCTTTGGCTGATGTATATTTAGTGTATCTCTGTATGTAAGCGTACGGCGTCTGCTGCATTAAAGCGGCTGCGCATTTCTGTTTTGAGGAAGATTAGATTAGATAGCAACGAAAGCTAACTCGAAGAAGAAGAAATCAACCTCTAGGTGAGCACCGGAGAGAAAGTTATCTATTTTGCCGCTTCTTCTTTCACTAATAATTATATCTCAGGTGTGTACCTGAAAGAAGTAGAATAAAACTAATTCTTGTTGATTTCACCGCGCCTACCACTCGGCTACCTGTTACACATATCCTTAGTGATAATTGGACTTGGAAAACACTACATAATTCAGTCCTCTCGGAGCAGAACGTTAAAAGGCCTACACAAGCCGAGCCGATGATTGGTCAATTCCCTCTATATTAAA